AATCCAGCTGAGAGCCTGGATCCCACAGTAATGTCCTGCATGAGTCCAGCTGAAGACCTAGAGTCCATAACAGTGCCTCTGATGAATCCAACTGAAGGCCCAGAGCCCACAACAATGTCTCATGAAGGCCTGTTTCATGGATCTGCACTGCAAAGGCCCAAAGTTTAGTGGTGGAATCTAGAAAGTCTGTGCCAGTGGGATGAAGGATCTGTGCTAGCAGGCTGAGGGATCTGCACTGGTGCCAGGAAGTGACACTCAAAGAAAGAACCAGAGCTCCCCAAAAAGGTACCACAGCCACCCTCAGCGACAGTGAGGTCCTGAACTCCTCCAGTGATCAGGACAGCCAAATTCCCATCAGGAAAGCCAATGCAGCAAGCTCTTCCAGGGACTGGCAGTGCACCATCTTCCCCTCCAGAGGCAGGAAGCAATGCTCAAAGTGAGGATCAGAGCTCCCCCAAAGTGAACAGAAGCTATTCGCACTGCCAACAAGGTCCCGAGCTCCTCGGAGGATGAAAACATCCAAGTTCATCAGGAAAGCCAGCATGACAAGCTCCTCCAGAAGAACCAACAGCTCCTTATAGTTTCTACCAGCTCCCAACAGACTTCTTCAGCTCCCAACAGCCTTACTTTTTCACTGGTTCTGCCTCATATGCTGCTGGCAACAATCCTCAGGTGGACCTCCCATCCCCAGCTCCACATGTACTCAGTTCACCTGGGTGTTGTAAGTTGAGCACCAGTTGTCAATCCACTACACAACCTACACAGACAAGAGAGAAGCCATGGGTGCTATAACCATGAGAAGTGTCATAGCAGGGAGCCATTCAAGCCCTTTAGAGCTCAAAATTTGCTACATGTCTCAGATGCTGCACAGGAACCTACCAGACTTAATGTTTGCCCTGCCAGATTTTAGACTTACTTTGGTTCCAATCCTTTGTATTCCCATTTGTAACTTTTGTACCCATTGAACGTTGGAAGTGTTTAACTAACTTTTCATTTGTACAGGGGCTTACAGCTAAGAGTTTGTCTTACATCCCAGAGGAGACCAAAATAACCACAGGGAAGTCTTAGCTTCCAGTTCAATGGTATCATTGTTATGCTTCCTGGTACAAGCCTTGCCCCCTCTGTAACTAAGACTTCTAAGCCTGCAGAACGTAAAATCTTTGGGACAGGAAGCAAAAATTTTGCTAATGGCTCACTAGGGGTAATGGTGAGTGGTACCATCCCTACTTCCACTCCTTGATTCCTGGATCCATGAATCATGGCTATGGGAGCACAGTACCATGTAGTGGGTGCTGATTCAAAGCATATGTGGTCTTTTGAAGTATCTTACCCCTGCCCTCCAAGCTATTGCTACCTAGCTGGCACACAACTGTGTCTTCAAAAGACCATCCCACCTTTCTATCAATCCAGCTGCTTCTGGATGATAAGGAACCTGGTAAGACCAGTGAATTCCATGAGCTCAGCCAATTGCCTTACTTTGGCTGTAAAATACATTCTTTGGTGAGAGGCAATGCTATGTGGAATTTCATGACAGTGGATAAAGCATTCTATGAGTCCACGCATGGTAGTTTTGGCAGAAGCATTCAATGCAGCAAAGGCAATCTATATCCAGAATACATGTCTATGCCAGTGAAGACAGAGCACAGTCCCTTCCTTGATGGAAGTGCTCCAACATAACTAACCTGCCACCAGGTCACGGGTTGATCACCCCAGCGAATGGGCCATATTGAGGACTCATTGTTGGCCTGTGCTGCTGGTATATTGGGCATTCAGCAGTGGCTGGAGCCAGGGCAGCTTTTGTGAGTGGGACTCCATGTCCAAACTCCCTATAATAAATGTAATGGGAATATAGTGTAGAAAATCATCATCCCCTTCAGAACTGAAGAAAAAAGAAAATGAATGGTTAGAAGGGAAACAGATCCAGAAAATAAGCTAAAAGAGGGACCTAGTACAGACAAATTGCACATTCAAATCATATGATGTCTAAAAATGAGAAACAGAAGTGATTTGAGAACAAGGTGGGCAGGAGTTTATTTACTTAAATTTAATATTCAGAAGGAATTCATTAGACTCTTTTAACTATAGGGTTTACAAAGCAGCATGGAGAGGAAGAGGGAGCAATAGATGTAAAAATCTGCTGCCCTTTGCAAAAGCCCACGGCCCTGCTCTCCACAGCAGAACCTGCTAATTAAAGCCAGCGTTCTTGGTGCCAGGTTGGCCCGCTGCCTGATCATGAAGAGGTCTGGATCGAGTCCTGGTTTGCCTTCTGACATGCTGTGTGATCTGAGCTGATCACTTTGCCGTTAGGGAGAAGGAAAATAGCTCTCTACAACTTGCCTATATCAAAAAAATCCTTTTAGACTAAGCAGGCAGACAATAATGTTTACAGTGCCCCTCGTGTGATGCTAATCTCTGTTAAAGGTGGCACCGTAATTCAGTAGAGAGGCAACGCTCTTTCAATCACAACCATTACCTTGAAGCCAAGGGTTTTGTTCAATAACGTGTGAGTGAACAGAGACCTTTCTTGGGGAGGGTCAGAAAAACCGAGGTGAAGTTCAGAGGCTCTGTGGAATGGGCACCTCGCAGTCTTTGGAAGGTGCGCTCCTGGGCTTTTGCTCTCTAAATTGATCAAATTTCATTTAACTCTCTCTTGTCAGGCTCCTTTCTGAGCCTCGGTTTCTAGAACTGTACATCAAGACAGTAACACCATGTAAATTCCTGTGAGACGTAAGTGAAGCTAGTTGAGGGGGGGTTGGCATTAAATCTGCCATTGATGTTACACATTTTTAAAAAATCTATTATAAAATTTATACATTTTTTTTAAAGCTGAAGGACAGAATTTCTGGAATTGCCTGGGCACTTCTAGGGTGACTGATTTCCACAGATACTTGGGAAAGGCTGGAAAACTGTTCACAGAGGGCTGGGCCGGACCTGCAAAGAACAGGAATTCCCACTGGATTTGCTCCAGCTCTGGTGCTGAGCCCGTTTCAGGCTGGTTGTCTGTGGGGAACAGCTGGCCTGATTCCAGGGTCAGTTCCAGTGGATGCAAAGGCTTTGGAATTGTCTCAAGATGAGCAGGTGACAAAAGCGCTGACCGTTTCCTGGTGGCTATGGCAGGGTGATGTGCAGGCTGAGGACCTGGGGTGAATCTCTGGTACCACCTTATTCTCCATATAGCAGTTTGCATCCTGGTCCAACACATCTGTGTGTACTGCATTTTGTTGTGAGACTTCCAAGCTTCCTAAAGAGCTGTCTTTTTAATTGGCAGAAAGGAGGTACTGGGCTGCTTTGTCACTGTGTGGGTCAGCTCTCTGAGAACCAGCAGGCTGCAGACCCCAGCAGCTTCTGTGATGCTCCCATCCTTCATCTCTATTCCCATGGTAACCCTCAGGAAGGGAAAAGAGGGACAGTGAACCATTCAGAGGCTATTTTTAGGTTTCTGGCCAGATGCTTAGATAAATCTGTTGAGGGAAAGAAAATGAAGTAAATGTAGAAGGGGATTTTTTTTTTTTTGCTAAAGGCAGTGTCATTTAAAATTCATATTATAAAATTGTAAATGATCTTGGGAAATCACCCATTCTATCCCTGCCTGTGGCAAAACCTTCCTCTAAGCGATACCAAAAATTCTCCAACAAGATCTTCCTTAAGACATTTTATCAAATAGCTTATTCTAATGTACAGCGTACTACCTACCCCAAATTTGCTCCATGTGCATCTTGGCAGAGTGGTCTGATATTTCTGTATACAACGTGGTGATGCTTGGTATGGCTGGTTTTAGTATTTAGCTATCTGGAATCACGATTTTGACTTCATGGTTTATTAAAATTGTGTGATCATGTAGTTAGCAACTGTAACCCTGTGAAGATGCAAGTATCCCTTGGTCTCATGGTATAGTTATATTCTGTTCAGTCTCTTTCAAATAAGACTGTGAGAAGGAAGAAATGGAGCTTTCCTGCTGATGCCAGGACCTACCCGATACAGCCCAATACCATACTCCAGCAGTGCTGGGCTGGGTTTTCTAGGCAAGTAGTTACTGCTTTCTGACTTAGTGGGAAATGTAGAAAACTATCACATAAGGCCTTGGGTTTTAGTGTTGCTTGCCTCTACTTCGGTGTGTTCTTTTCTGTTTCTGGTTGCTAGTGTTTTCAGGCTTGGCCTTGACCCCTGCCCACTTCTGCTGGTTCTGTACACTCCCTTTCTGGCCCCTCTGTCCTTTATTCCTGTGGTAGAGTCTTCTCACTGCACACGGGAACCCTGTCACTAAATACTATACACGAACATGTACTGTGCTACTTCAGCCTCAGAACGATCCCCTGATACCAATCTTATTATTCCCCGGAAACTGTGGCTCAAAAGACCATAAAGTTTGGTAAATTAACATGTGGAAGAATGTCCAACTGGTTAGATGCTAAACCTCACCATGCTGTGATGTATTTTACTTTGGGTCAAAGAGGTAGATTTTAGAATTGAACCATGGCTAGAAAACGTCAGAAAAATAATCATTCATTATTTTATCACAAAGTATCTCAAGTGAGACATCACCAGTTTTAAGATATGCCATTACTTAGTGTGTTACTAAGAAAAGGAAAATAAATTATATTTACTTGGTTTTTGCATATGTAAAATCCTTATCATTTAAATTGTATTGTTATCTCTATCCTATCTCAGTTAGAGATGTTTAATTTTTTTTAAAAAAAGTCTTCTCCAGGCATGGCTGTAGTCCCAGCACTTGGCAGGCTGAGGCAGGAGGATTGGCATAAATTCAAGGCCAGCTTGGACTACATAGTGAGTTCAAGGCCAACCTGAACCATATAGCAAGACCTTGTCCCAAAAAAGAAAAGAAATATCTTGAAATTGATAAATAAGGAGTTCATTTGACTTTTATTGTATGCTTTAATGTGGAAGACACATTGAAGTTTGTTAATTATCTCTAGATAATAACACATACGAATGTAAAAGCAAATATATTTACACTGCAATGCTTTCCCTTCAGCAACCATCAACTGACCTAGAATTTGACCGCGTAGTGATTTATACCACTTGCCTTCGTGTGGTAAGGACAACTTTTGAAAGATGTGAACTGGTTAGGAAGATCTTCCAAAATCATCGAGTAAAATTTGAAGAAAAAAACATAGCTCTGAATGGAGAATATGGAAAAGAGTTAGATGAGCGATGCCGCCGAGTTTCTGAAGCTCCTTCTCTCCCTGTCGTGTTCATTGACGGCAATTACCTGGGGGTGAGTATTCTGCTAAGGAAAAATCTCCTTTTCCACAGACCCTAACCAGCACTGATAGACAGCAATAAGCCTACATGACAACACAATTTGCGACATAACTACTCAGACATCTGCTATTTGTTGAAGCTCAAATTAAAGGTATTGAAGCATTTATTTCCATGCCAAATGATGTGCTGCTCCAGTTCTCAGTCCCACAGAAATGTAGTGGCCTAAAATCAGCATGAAATTGCCTTTTTTTTTTTTTAATAGTATTACATTTTAAAAGTATTCAATTGACTTGAGTTGTACATTGTAAAGACTGATATGTGGGATAAATCTATTTAGCTCAAACAAGAAAAATAGAATATTTAGAAAATATACATTTGTGAATTCTCTTAATATCTCATTATTCAGCACTTTCCAACCTAATGAACATGAGCTGACAATCCCGAAATAGGATCAATAGGAAATTCGGCCTGGAGCCAGAATTTTATGTTTGTGGTTTAAAATTATTCTTGATTTTGGTAATGCAGCAGTGTGAGACATAAATTCCGGCTTACAGTAAGCAGAGAGAACTCCCAGAGCAGCAGAACATGTCTACTTCATTTCTCTTAGAATAATATTGTTAGCGTAATTAACCCCATTGATCTATGAACACGCTGGGTAACAAGCCCAAGGAGAGAGTGTGGAAAGCTCTGAGAGAGCATGGAGCTCTTCAGGGTACCAGAACGGCTGAGGGGCTGCAGTTGAGCACACAAGCGTTTATCATTGCACAAGGAGACTGTCAAAGCACAAAATGGTAGGTAGATCTTGGTTTTGTTTAGCATCCAGTTTTACCATTTAGACTGGGGCAAAAAGGGGCTAGAAAAAGCATGAGAGGTTCATGTTTCGTTTCAGGAAATCTGTGTTAAAATACCCTGTGCATAGCCATAACTGCTACAGGGAGCCAATCATTTTATGGAGAGGTAAATAACCAAGAAGCATGAGGGTATTATACAGTGTTGTTTTCAACCAGAGCTGAGCACAGTTATTTTTGTTTTTGTTTTGTAGATCTGGGGTTCAAACCTAGGGCCTCACATATGCTAGGCAAGTGTTCTACCAGTGAGCTACGCCTACAGTTCCAAATTGCATTTTGGAGTACACAAATTTTGATCTGAAAATCAAACTGATCCTTGTTTTAGTGTATTTCAATATATAGCCATAGGCCCCAGAAAACTACAGTAATAGTAACAATAACAGCAACAATAATAATAATAATAGTATACTGCATGCACTCAGAGCTTTCTGTCTTTTTCCTTATCCCTCAAGATAACTCATATAGCATACTTAAGCAGGGAAATAAGCTCATGTTGGTAATCTCTCTAACATCTGTAGTGTTTCAAATTTCTGCTCTGATACTTCACATGCGCCACTGTGTCTGGATTTCCTCATTTGTAACATGGCAATGATAAAAGGGCTTATCTCATAGGCTGACTGTGAGGATTTTTTAAGATATCAAATGTAAATGCTTAGTTCCTGCGCCTGTTATAAATCATGTTTTCCAGAAATACTAATAATTATCCCTATTTTTAAAAAGAAAGCATCAATTCCTTTGCTTAAGTGACATAGCTGGTAAGAGGCGGGGCCAGGATTCAAAATTAGACCTGTGACATTCCAAACCCAAGTTCTGTGGAACATCCCCTCGAGGAAAGGGATCTTCAACTTCTTGGCAATGCAGTCTCATACCTCAATCAGGACTTGGCACAAGGGCCGGGGGGGAGGGTGGGGGGTGGTCAAATAAACCTGTGTCGACTGATGCGTGAATTATGCTCCGCTGCTCCCTCACATTCTTTCCTTCTCTCTGACCTTCTTCCATTAAAAAAGGGATCTGACAAACAGCTACAATAGGGACAATATAATTTATATGGATTGTGGGTATTTCTCTTTCACCTCAAGAAAAACTCTGACGATGTAAGACATTTCTCATTCTGAAATTTCAATTTTTGTGAAACTGCATAGTTAAAATTAGTGGGTGACTGCCTGGATACAAAGGTATAATGCCAGTCCCACCCGATATAGTGATCACTTCTGAGCTAATATAAAATGCTGTAATGCCTGTCCTGATATTCGTCTTTCCGGTAGAGGGCTAGTGGAGTGTGCCACAGAAAAATGAGGCATGGTGCATGTTTCTTTCTCAGTTGCTTTTTCTCCAGATGATTTAACTTGCACACACTGTAGGCCAGAGGAGGCAGAATCACACAGGTGCAAACTTGCTGCTTCTGTAATTTGATGCTAATGCTCCAAACCTGCAGTCAATCCAGAAACTGAATGTTTTCTCCTTTGTTTTTCTTATAAAGGAAGAACTACTTCTAAACCTACAACTCAAAATGGCAAACAGTCCACAACAACTTATGAACAAATTTCCCTCTAATTACAATAGCCTTTTTATTTAAATTTCAGTATACAACTGATAATAAAATATATTGTATGGGGAAGCCTTTTCCTTGCCCTGTTCATGCATCTGAAATGGAAGGATGCCCTCTGCTGGATTTGGGCATGTGGTGAAACCTAGTTTTAAGGAGAAAAATAAGCTGATGTTGGTAATTTCCCTGACATCTGTGGTGTTTTAAACAGTCACACAAAACCATTTGATTTAGTTTAAATTTAGATGTGTAATAAAAATCAAGATGTGTGAATCATCTGCAAAATACAACTCTAAAGAGGGAGGGAGAGAAATTGAGAAACAGGAACAGCCAGAGAATGGGGAGGATAGAGACTAAACGAGAGGGATATGGAGGCAGATTGTAAGAGATGACAGGAGGCCGAGCTGAAGGTCATTCTGCGGTTCCTTCACCGTTCCACCATCACTGCCATCTTCCCCCGGTGGGTGATGTTGGAGGAATTCATTTATCTTCCTCCAAGGGAAGATTGTGAGTTCCATGGGTGGGACCAGAAGCCTGAGCACACTAAGCTCCTTTTACCCTGGCTCCCTTCCTGAGCCAACAGAAAACTGAAGTTGAAACAGTGAGCTCTCAAGGGTATCGCTGCTCCGGGATGCTCCGTGAGATGGGGAGCATGTTCAGAGTGGCAGTAGCTCGTGGCAACTGTTTTCTTTTTTTTCTTTTTGGATAAAACATCAGAAAATCTTTTCACAAAAATTCTGTTCCAGTATTTTTAGACATGAATTATGTTAGGAAGTCCAGTAAGAAATAGAATAGAAATAATGGATTGCCGGGATGAACCATAAAATTCTAAAATGGAAGCTGACAAAACTCACATTAGAATGCAGCTATAAAACATATCCAATATGATTGAAAAATAGTCTATTTAAAAATCTTTAAAATTATTACAGTACAAGACATAGGACCATTGGCCTACCTTGAAATATTCCTCCTCACTTCGGTAGGTGTATTCCATGGTTCTTGCCATTTTCTCAATCAGTTCTGGAAGTCCTTTTCCATGTGTCAACTGCACCTTTATGGTTGCCTCCATGTACTGAATTGATTCCAAATGTTTTTCTTTCGTGGTCATTTTGACTGTGGGGAAAGATCCAGAAGTCACGTGGTACCAGATCCAGGTAACAAAGTGAATGTGGACAGACCATAATGTTTTCATGAGCCTGCCTTTCTACTAAATGTCACTGACAGCAGCGTTCACTGCATTTGTTATTGCAACTTGTAAAGACGTACAAAGGAGGACGTCCATAACAGAAACTGGGAGGAACAATGGGATAGTGTGTTCAAAGCAAGGGAGAGTCTTTTAAGTGGTATTGATAAGGATATCTTTTTTACTGTAACAATTTTTAAAAATTTAATCATTCACTATATATTTTGATTGCTTATCATAGAATGAGTTTGTGTGGAGTCTGGTAACTGAGAAGGGCGTAGAAGTGTCATTGATGTAGATACATCTCTTCAACTAGCTAATATTAAAGTTGTGGCTGTCAGCAATTCTGAATCTATTTAAAGTACTGTATTCCATTTAAGAATGAAGGCAATTGTTATTAAGCATAACTAATTTACAGCTTAGAAATGCCAGCTCTAGGCACATTACTAAGGACTGCTCACAGAGCTTCTCAGCAGAAATAGGCCCTCAAGGAAGCTCCTGCCATCATCAAGAAGCAATCAGTGAGCAATTCAAAGCCTTTGTCACGATTCACACCAGCAAAAAGGACCATTTGTTTTCTGCCCTTCTTTCCACTCAAATCTGTTTCATAATAAAGTCCCAAGTCAGTGCATCTGAGCTGTTTGCTAAATAAGTAACAAACCTACCTTGATTTGCATATGTCTTGGCAGTTTCCTTTGTTTCTTGTGCTTAAGACTCATTGGGATTCTCGGGTGGTAGGTATATGATTTTTGTTAAATTTTGAAAACTCTTGGCCATTATGTTATCAAACATTATTTTTGTGTCCTTTTCCTTTTTTTTTTCTTCAGAGCTTCCAGTAGAATGCTGCTGGTGTCGTTCTGTAGTGTATTTCATTACATTTCAGATAGCTTTTATTGCTACATTTTCTTAGTACCTAATCTTCTCTTTTATAATGCCTAATAGTCTGTTAATTCCATCCAGTGTTTTGTTCCTCAGATATTGTAATTTTACTTTCAGAAGTTTGATGTTTAAAAAAGACTCCTTTTGTACAAAGATCAATTTTAGGTTCACAGAAAAATTGAGCAGAAGTCCTGGAGATGTGACCCATACCCTCTGTTCCCATGCATGCAGAGTTCTCTATTATCAACATAGCACACCAAAATGGTACACTTGGTATGATCGATGAACCTACAGTGACACACTGTTATTAACCAAAGTCCACATTTTTACACTAGGGATTACTTTTGATGTTGTGCATACGAAGGATTTAGACAAATTTATAAAGAAATACAGCAGGGGAATGCAGCTCAGAGATGGAGCACTTGCCTAACACGCATGAGACTCTGGGAAAGACCTACACCACTGCCAAAAAGCCCGCATATATTTTTTAAAAATTACACTGACATGTATCCACCACTATCATACTATTCGGGAGAGTTTGCTACCCTAAAGTTACC